TACATAGAAAGGCGTGCGGATAGTCCATTTCGCCATTCCTGCTAACACTTTCGTCAATGGCACCTCTTTCACCACACACGTTGCAGAATGCCAACCCAAGTCGCTTCTTGAAGCGGTCGAACCACCCCTCCCACACACTGAATGAGTCAATGTTCACGGTCAGTGTGAACTTCTCTGCTTGTGCACAGATAAGGGGGCCGTGGAACGGCAAACACGTATCGCAGCAAAACGGCAATCAAGCACAACAGCGCTTCTTTTATCTTCGGGCGCGCTGCTGTTTGAAGCCTCTTCCTCTCATCTCCAAACATGTCGTCGTCACACGCTTGCATTATCTGGTCTTCGTTCTGCACGTAACTGCTCAGCGTGCTTGTCTTCACGTTGAACTATTCCGTGACGTCTTTTTGAGATGCGCTCCCAGTTGCAATGCCTTTAATATTTTCACCTTCGCAGCCAAATGCTTAGCTTCGTACTTCGCCCTCTTTGCTGCGGGGGTTGGGGCGGCTGGGACTGGAAGAGACGCAGGGGAAGCCATCTCGTGTCGCTTGCGTGATGATGACGCACGCGCGTGCACTAAGGAAACAAGCCCGGTGATAAAAAATGGTGAAAGAACGATGACAAAAATGAAATTTAAAAAAAATGCAAACTGTTCGGTTCGAACTTGGTGTGTTCGTCGAATAATTTCATATTATGACGCGCCCCGCTGACAGTGATCCCACGCCATGACGGAAGCGGTACCACTGAATTGGCGGAACGACAGCTGTCTGTCGGTCATAAAGAACGCGAAGACTCGCGTCTCATAAGGGGCTTAGTGGTAGCGCCTGACTGGAGACAAGAGCCGAGTCTGGCTGCAAGGGTGGAAGATGCACTTGCACTTCACTGTGGCAACCGAAACCAGCGGCAGCAGCAGCTTTCATACATGGGCCAATTATACTGATGGCCTGTCAGCCCAACATTGTAGGCACGTATCCGGGAGGTTCATTCCCACGGCTGGTCGACACTGGACGCCGAACGTTTTGGGAACCGGAGTGAAGGAAGTTGAGCAGAGGCGAGAGGCGGTTGTTCTTCGAGCAAGATCCGAGGAGGAAGGACTCCATGCCTGGTACTTTAGATGGCAGCCAACCGGGAGTCGAAGAGAGACATTCCTGTGTTCCGATTGGATTGTAAGAGTGTTTGAATGGGGAGTTGTGGGATAAAACCAGGGGTGCGGGGACAGGAGGGGTAAGAGAAACGAAGAAACGCCTTTATCGAAATGATGTCCGAGCGGTCCTTCTCTCAAGGTGCCAGCAGATGAAAAATCTCGTCTCCGGCTTCCTTGGTGGTGGCAGCAAATGTCGCGCAACCAGCGAGGCGAGTGGAAGACCAAAAACAAAACTTAAGGGGAGATGGGGGTCGAAAAACGCGAGTTTTCATCAAAATTACCGATTTTTCATTTTTGCCTATTTTGATAAGATTAGTACCTCTACTGTTCTGGAAAAAAAAAAAAACATGGCGCGACTTAACTGGAAATGCTTCGAAATTGCGTCTAAAGAGCACAAAGTGCCTGTTAAAAGGCCCAAAATGTGCAGTCTTCGAGCCCCTTGCCGCCGATAATGCGCCGCTGCTCACCATTGTCAATCGCATGAGGTGAAGAGTCGAGCCTCACTTTTCAAATAATGAGTTTCCCTTGCTGATGCGACACAAGAAATAATAAAAAAAAACATGCTTTTGCGCGTTTTTCGAGTGCCATGATTCGCTTATCAGGTGGTACGGATCGGGGACCGCCATTGGCCGCTGCGCGCCTGTATGTGCTGTGAAGCCTACTTGCGGGGTCCATGTCTTGTCAAGCAGCGCAGCTGAACCATGCTTTTCTTATGTATTTATCTCCGTTATGAATGAAAAAAGCCACTGCTCGCGCGCGAAAGCTGTTTTGGCGCCACGCTCTGTATGAATAGGCTACGAGCAGCTGGTCCGATTTGCGGCAGTTGTTGGCTTGCAAAAGCCAATGCATCAAAAGTCATTCACAGCCATCAGCTGGAAAGTTCGTGATGCGGCAATGAATGATGTCAGTGCCAATCTTGCGAGGTCAAAGGAGCACACATTGAGGAAACTTAGCGGGGACGACATTGCCATTATGTCAATGGTGTGTGACCCAAACGTGGCCGCAAGATGGCATCAGCACTGTTGTGTCCCTCGATATTGGACTAAGTTTAGATTTCGCAATCGTGTTGAACTTCTTCCTAGCTTGCAGTCGGCATAAAGCTCTGCCAGATGGAGCGGAAGAAGTTTGACAAGCGTTTCATGGCCCTGTCTGTGAGCGAAATGCTTGTGAGGAGTCGGCTCGAAAAAGCCGAGAACAACAAACTCATGGTGCTGGCGTATTTTAGTGGCAGTTGCCACTACAAGAAGGATTGTTCTTTTTGATGTGCAAATTTAATCGCATTTGTAAACATCTTTCATAAATAAAAACTCAATTTTAACTTCAAAGCTCGTTTTTCTCAAAACACAACTTTTGACATTTTTTTTCAATGTGCCCCTCCTTTTTCGGGCACTTCTAGTGCTCGGATCTGCATGAAATTTTGCCCAAATTTTTTAAAAAGTATCCCGAATACAATCATTCAGTTTCAATTTCAATATTTTATTTCATAATAAAAAAATGTATGTAGGCGATTGCTGGCATAGGTGAAATATGGACTTTTTTACGTGTGATATTTTTCACGCCTATTGCATATTTTGTATGTGCTTCCTAATACGTTATTTGTATTTTACACTTTGTTTGAAACATTATGAACTATGAATGATAAAAAATTACGAAAGTTTAGGGATGAAAAGAGGGGGCGGCAAAAGGGTTGAGGTTTTCACTTTGTGGATTCGCAGAGCTGAATGTAAGCAACTTGCAAGAAAATTAATTATATATTTGAAATCAGCATAAAGTTTTATAAACAGCTCAAGTTTCATTGCCCTAGGATAAATATTTTGAAAGAAAGTGTCTTCGAGTGTCATCTCCCCTTAACTCAAACTTTTCAAAACAAGCAAACAATAAGGCTGCAGATGGCACTGATCACGCACAAAAATAAATAATTTAAAAGCAACGGCACGGTACAAGTGAACAATCCGACTCGGCCGTCACACACACGTGTTGGACGCACAACAAAAAAGGAGAGGCAAATCCGTCGGCTGCCTGTTGCACTGTTGCTGATGACAGTAGCGATGCGCTGCCTTTCATTTTGGTTGTCAACTAACGTCACGTGGGATTTTTTTTGGGTGCCTTCGAGATGCAAAGCTAATTTCTACACATAAAGCAAGTTCGAATCTCGAAGGCCACAATCCGATCTCGAAGTTATTTAGGTACGCTGTCAGTTTGGCCGGCGGAATCTGCTGCTGCTTTCCCGTTCGAATTAGCCAGAGCACGGCCGAATCTGTCCGAATTAATGAGTGTGTGCAGTTATAGAAAAATGCGCATTTTCGAATGGACCAGACCTCGTGGCCAATGAACAGAAATTACGAATTAACGGGTGTCAAATTAATGAGATTTTACTTTATCTCTTTATGCCAACGTATCTAATGCAAGGAGTGTTGCTAGTCTTCACAGCGTTGCACCTGATTTGTGAAATAAAGTACACTTAGACCTGCTCATAATGAACTTCCATATAACGAAGCTTTTCTATTCCCTGCCAAAGCTCCATAGAAGCACCTTTGTTTGCGACCTCTATGTAACAAAATAACAGTAGGAGACAACCTCGGTGCAACGAATTTTCCCCACAGACAATCTACGAATTTTGCTCCGGATTTCGTCATTTTGATATGAGCACGCATTTTTCGCGGGTGCCCTGCTGCCGATGAAGCGCAAAGCGGCGGCGGTGCGCTAGTGGCCTTGGCAATAACAGTGCGAGAGCGAGCGTTCTTTAATTTGCGTGGGTGAGCGTGAGATGCGCAGGCGAGTCTGGGCCCCACAAGCCGGTGGTTGCTGCCATTCTTGCCGCCGCGGATGCATACGTGAATGTGCCTCCCTTCTCTAAAAAAAAAAGAAAACTACTTTTGTGTTGGCAGTGCCACACCTTTAGTTAGCGTCACATATGTGGAGGCTCGCTGCATATGGAGGGCGCTGTACCTAATAGTTTTCCGCAGTATCAACGTCATTAGCTTTTCGTTTACCACGCCGTACATGAGTGCATGGTTTCACTGCTGTGGTACTGTAATAATGTAAGATCTGCTGTGATACTGTATTTGTTTATAGGTGGCAATGGGGCATGTCTGGAGATGCATATTTGCACTTGTAAACGCACACTGCCATTTAGTGCATGAACATTCTACGTTTTCGGCTAGTACAGATTATTGGTGTTTCACTAATTTACTAGATAATTAGCAGTTATTCATGTTGATGCCACCACTTTTGCGGGGGAACGACAGCAATAACAGCAATATAAGACGTGCTAGCAAGCCTCATGAATAAACGGAATTACAGCGTGATCGATATGGATCAGGCCGTGTCCTTGGTGTAGCCAACGCTCACTGTTGCTCGGTCGACGATAATAATAGGCTAGACTTTTGCGGTTTACACTTCTAGTCGACAATTATCACAAGAATTACCGTTCGTGCGCAGCCTGGCACAGAATGGCGCAATTGGCGCAGCACTTTCAACCCTGTTTATCGTAAGCTCGCAGTTTCTATGGTGTCAACTTTTTTGGCTCGAGAGAGCATTGCAATACACTAAAAGATGATCAACTTAAAGCCCCTAGAGCCACAAAAGAAAAGACAAGTTTAATGGAAATGCCACATAAACTGAGTGAGGAGCTTAACACTGATTAACTAACTACAGGTACAATGTTTCAAAGCTCACGCAAGTGAGTTTTCTTTATAAGGAAGGCACTGTTTTCTCTTACAAACACCGCAGATTTCATTTAAGATCATTCCACCAGGTGTTGCACGAAAGCATCTCTGCATTCTAGGTCCAACTGAAGAGGGCCACGAGCCAAAGCTTCATCTTTTAAACATAACCATTCAAAGCTCAAAGCAACACCCACCTGCAGGAGGTCAAACTGGACGCGGCCCTCTATGGTGACCACCTTGTTCTCTCGACGACCCATTTGCTTCGATTGCATGACAGCATCCTTGAGCAGGGTCTTGCAGTTGCGAATGCGACCCAAGAATGGGAACAGATCCACCTGAAGAGTCTTGGCTCGGTTCATCAGGTAGGGGAAGTCAAAGTTCTGGATGTTGTAGCCTGTGATCACGTCCGGATCTACTTCACGTAAGAAGTCCGACCATCTCTGCACAAACGGAAGACAAATACAACCACCAGCTCTCCTCAGGGAGAACATAAACAGCCTAAAATTGTTTCATGACACATTATTACTTATCATGAGGATATTGGCACGTGTAACAATCCCACCAAGGACTGCCAAATGAGCGCTCGCAGTACATTTTGTTCTTTTCCTGCTTTTGGTTATTGTTAACCAGCCGATAATTACACAAGTATTGTTGGCGCCTTCAAGATTGATTGGTGGAAGCTGACGGCACTGGCTGAGTACATGGAAGATCTTATTAAATATTACCACGCTTCGGGAAGCTAGTAGCACCCGTTGTGCACGCCAGCAGTTACTGCAGGTAACTCTCGGGTAACTGCAAGTAGCCAATCACTCGGGCTAGCTGCTGCTAATAGCAGCTTCAGGTCTTTCAATCCACGATTACAGATGGCAATGAACTTTTAGCAAAGCTCTAACTTTTGCAATACGAATGCCAGACATCGCGTTATCCGGGACCAGCATTTCAGGTGCACTGTCTTAGCCGTGTTCACGTGCGGCAAAACTGATGTAACTTGCCGCTAACAAACACGTTCGGCCCTGATCTTGTGAATTCCTCGAAAATGGAAGTGCCCCTGGAAGTGATTGCATGAGAATATCAAGCAAGGCCTTGCCTAAGCTGGCAGTTTGTCGAAGTAAATAGCCAATGTTAAACAACATGCTTCAGGGTATATTGCATGATGACATTTACAAGTTTCATGTGAACAGCATTGCGATCGTGAGCAGAATTTTTCTGTGAATGTTGACAACACAACAAAACAAGGTTGCGTTACTTTACTTTTTGTTTGTGCGAATCAGACGATGCAGTGCTGCCAGGCCCGCCTTGCATTTTTGCATACTATTCAGTTGACTTGAATTCGATAAGTATTTCCGAAATTCTGCAAAATCAAGTTACTATTGCATCAAAGACGGCAGTAATGCATGCTTTCACACTGTTTCCAACTTTTGCACAACAGCAACAACAATGTAGTGATACTTTAGACATCATTTTGTAATCCTGTTACTGCCCGACAAATAAAACTGCCCTACAGACTGGCGTAACGGACGAGGGCACCCTTTTTCACTTAGGTTATTAGTGAAAATGAAATCGTACTTTTTTTTTCAACAGTTTTACTTGAACACTATTAACCCTGCTCTTAATACTGCCGCAACTATCACGACTATCAGAGGCACTCTACATAAAAACTAATATACAGTCAAACCTGTTTATAAACAACTCGAAAGAGCCACGATAAGTCGTCATTATATCAGTACTTCGTTGTATATAGACTCGGCTTAATAAAACTGCACCAAGCGACAAAGGCGTTTTTTTTTTTCAGTGTATTTTTATTAAAATATATATATAGTGCTACAACCCATCAGGTGACAAGTGAGGCCTTTTCACATGTTAAACGATGCCCGCCAAGTGTGCACGAGTGAACCAAACCACATTCGCAATGAGCTCGTGCTGTTACCCTGAAGCATGGTATCGGCACATGAAAACAATCATCCCTCCCTAGTCGCATGCAGCACATCACATACTCGGCTCTCGCCGTCGCATGCTGGGCTGTTTGCAGTCTAACGTGTGCGAGCATTTGTGCAATCTTTGTGCATACTTCACTACGAATCATGCTTTGGTGTGGTGAGTAGCCTGACTGTTCAATACGACGGAGACATGCATTTTGCAGACATGCATTGTGGCGTCATCCCGTTGGGCAACACAATGAACTTTATGCGACAAAAAGTTAACGCTTCTTGCATTCGAAGATATTTCTTGGTTAATCGGCGGCAATCGTAGTCGCAGACAGTGGCGTCAGAACTAAGCTTGCCATGCTATAGCTGACCACGAGTCTCTATGCTGCCTCCTGCCTTCTACTTTTTTTTCCTCCCTACTGTTCTGCTAGTAAAGCAATGCACAGAAAGTGAGTGACCTTGCTTCCAGCATCCTAAATCAGGTGCGAGCAAACTGAAGCAGTACACATGTGAGCGCACGCCTCTTAACATGCTTTAGAATGCCTGCTTTAATATTTTTTCACGTCACAAGCACCATACTTTTACCACGACTGTGTCGAAAGTGTTTGCTGTAAAGGGAGGAGGCTTTGCAAATTGTTTGCTCTATGTGGATGCAGTTTCAATAGGTAGCAGCATAGACAAATTATAAGTGCAATAAATATGTTTGTTATGAATATATCTGGGATGGTTATAGGTGTGTTCCACTGTACTTGGCCCAATGTACAAGGAAACCGCTGATACCCACACAGTTAATAGGACTAGGCTTGTGCGAATAGCGAATTCGAGGTTCGAAGCGACTTTAAAGCAAATAATAATTTTGGTCGAATATTTTCTAATCAAATTCGTATAGTATATATACCACATATTAACAAGAAAAATGGGCATATTTGTCCTGACCCAATTAACCTGCACACTATATTATTTAATTTAAACAAGACCTGTGTCAATGCTATTTTCTGGGGTTTAAGTAAAGTGGAAACAACTTTCAATAGCAGCAGGGTTTCAATTTTGGTAGGATGCAAGTTATAATTTATAAAATATGTTACGTTTTAAAATTCACTATACTTAGGGCATAACAAGCTTTTAACTTTAACAATGATGAATCAATGTGAGGGTAATACTATCCTCTTAAAACTTGAAGTGGGGCTACGCAGCAATGCAGATTTCTCCTGGATATGTGTTTTCACGGCTTAACACCACTCAACTGCAATGAAACCGCTTTTACAGGGTGTCACTTGCAGACTACTGTATTTACTCGCGTAATGTGCCCAGCTTTTCTTTTTCAGAAAAGTTGACACCGACTTGGGGAGAGGATTCATTACGCGCAAGAAAAAAAGTCACGGGAGTTATAACAGCAAAAATGTCGCGTGACGGCTTTGCTTGTTTTGGCCCAAGAAATGCGCGACAAATCTTTTTTGTAGCCAGGAGCTCTTTTTGTTTCCTCCCATAACAAAAGCGCACGAATTGATGCCGAAGTGTCGTCCAGCCGCTCGGTTCTCACGCTACAGCACATGCTGTTTGTTACCCGCCGTGTAGCTAGCGTACCGGCGGAACGCGCCCTGTGCGGCAGGTGTGCCAAAAAAGCTCACAACAACAAACTTGAAAACAAAAAAGGCAATGTTGAATGGTGGCACACAAACGTTGTGGTAGACGTTGCGAGTGCACGATACGCCACCGTGGCGGTTGCGCTTTGCATGGCCTCCAAGATGGCGGGCGTGCAGCGTGTTTCTATGCCGCGCACACACCATTTGGGAGGCCACATGCTTTGTTTTAGGGGCGAAGCTCCTTAAGACCTCACGATGTCCAGCGTCTCCCGTCTGTCCGTAACACATCTTCATCTGTCTGACATTTCTGAACCATTTTCCATGTAACCCTCAACTTATAAGCAACAGAGGGCGTTGGTGGTAACCGTTTTGCATGTAACCTTCAACTTATAAGCAACAGAGGGCGCTGTGGTTACAGTGGCTGGAATAGGCAAGTGTGATGAGCGGCAAGCGACGCCCACGGAGCGCACTGAAGCCTCCGAAGAAGAGCCGCGCAGGGGCGCGCGCAATCGTTTTTACGTCGTTTGCACATTTCCGACAGTTTCGTCGTGCGCGTTCATCCTCGTTTTTTTTTTAATTGCGGTGGCATTCTGACACCAGTGATTCTGTATGCATTTTCATGGCACAAAAACAAAGTCATTGCTTCGTACCGGGGTTCACTACAGGCTATAAGTCAGCTAAAAAGAAGCACGCGTTTTTCGGCGTTCCGAAGGACGAAGCTCTATTAGTGCAGTGGCGGAGAGCGATCCCGCGCGCTGACAAGCTGCTTCAAGAAGACTCGGCTGTGTGCGAGTTGTACTTCGGCGAGGGGTACATTTCCCAGCACTTCGAGCACACTGTGATTGGCAAAATTGTCCGTGTTGAAAGGGTACACCCATAGGCGTTGTTCAGGGGGGGGGGGGGGGGGGAGTTGGCGAAGGTTAATTGCAGGGTGCCTCCTTCCTATTAGATCAATGTATGAGGCAGATTTTACGCCCCCTTCTAGATGACTAAAAGTGTGCCCCGCTGCCTAGTGAATGTATAGAACAGATTTAGCGCCCACCTCCCAGGTGGCCAGCCCCCTTTGCCCCCTCATGCGGATGCCTATGGGTAGGCCTTTCGAGGAAGCTATTCGCATTTGTAGACGCCTTTGAAATCACTTTTTCAAAGTGCTTTAACTATAACAAGCTTCACGGTGACAGCTTGGAAAAGCTTGTTTCCTGCATGAAAAAAAAATGTCTCACTGGGCTGTGCACATGGTCCAAGCCTCACCAGTCAAGTAAAGAAGCTTTTTCTGCTCACTCGTACGCATTTTTACCCAAAGGTACTCCACAAGGAGCGAGCATCTTCCTGTGAAAAGAGGAAGTACCTGAAGCTCAGGCACATCACATAGGCCTGCAGCCCAATGTTCTGTGGGGCACTTGTGAGCTATAAAACTTTTTCTTTGGCATAAAAAAGGACGTGCAACAAATTATTAAGAATGCATTGTTGTAAACAGATAGTGAGTCACTACTCACTATCTGTAAGTGTGTTGTGTGACCTCTGTGCAGAAAATAAAAGGATTTCATCCAGATATAGCTCGTGGTTCTCGTTTCTGAGTATGACGTTTTGATTGATGGGGCTTTATTTACAGATTAGTGCTTGAGGAAATGATGGTTCGCCGTGGAAAGTGTTGCAAGCAATGGCTCACAACTGAGTTCATCGTTTCACTCTTCCACCACTTCACACTGATAAAATGTTTCAGTGCCGTCACGCGCTCACTTTCGGTATCCTGTCGACCTGACGATATTTCTGATCTGTCGTGCACTCGCATAGGCATCCTGTTTTCCAGAAGCTAATTAACATATTTTTTCGGTCGCCATTTGAGGCCATACACGAGTAAAAAAAAATATTTTAAATGCTTCACATTTCTCGCGCGTGGGGTTGATTGCCGTCTCTGCACAGCGCATCGCTGCCTTGGGTGATGTGCAAACGTGTGCCAGCGCTACCTGGCGGTTTCCTCCCAAGGCGTTACGCACTAGCCGGCGCGTTCATCACACTTTCCTATTCTAGCCACTGTACTGTGGTTAATTGTAGATGTGATGGCGCTGCTGTCAACACTACATATATGTGATGCTATGATGAATGGGTGACGTTGCCTGGCTCATACACCATGTTTATTCCATCGCTCTTCTTCTTCCTCATCCTCTGCCATCAGTCACTGCCTTCCTATGTCACAGGATTCCCCCCCCCCCACCCCGAAAGATGCGTGAGCTACAAACTATGAAACATGAACCAGTGTCTCATCATGGGAAAAAAAAATGTCACGAAATGGAGTAGTTTCATGTAACATGGCAGTTCAATGCACTTGCACAAAAACGTTCACAGGAAAGGCAGTCTAGTGACATATAGGAGACCTCAGGTGAACGACGTTGGCTGTTGCGTTGTGGACAGCATAACCATGCATTCGACGGGAAAAATGAGGATGACGCGGCCTGGATAGTAGTGAAAAACGAATAAGGTTGGGAGTCCTTGTAGCGTTGGAAGGTTGGATGTCTCATGCGTCGAATTGTGTGTCGTGGCGTGAATAGACGGTGTGCTTCCAGTTTGCGAGTGCGATGGTCGCGGCTGACGGAATGGTATCTTGGTCTCTGCGTTCTACAGATAATGCCTTTTCGTCTCTTGCGTCGTTTTTTGTGGTTTCGGAGCTGTAATTGTAGGCGCAGTGCTGATCTCTTGTGCCATATGTGTTTGTGGTGCCGATACCTTATGTGTATATGCCTCACGTCTTGAGTTTGCTTTAAAAGGCTCGCTTTGCGTCGTTGTCCTTGTTGGTGCATACGTTGGAGTGTCTCAAATCCTTGGACTCACTTTTGCTGGCGTTGCTGCGGTTGTATTGGAACCTGCTGAGGTGGGAGCGCTTCTTGAACATCATTCCCGTTTTCTTTACAAATTGATGCAGTGTCCAGTCGGCAGCTGTTGCAACGCTTTTCAGGCAGCGAAGTTGGTAGGACAGATTTGACTGGAGGAACATCAGAGGCGCCTTCGACAACATTGACTACGTAGGCTTCTGGCACCTGGCAACCTGTCGGAGTCACTTCCGAGCCTCCTGTGTTTGGGCTTTCACATGGCTGCGCTCTCAATGGCGACGCCGCAACAGGCGTGGTGTGGTCAAATTCCAGTTGGGAATGGCTGCCTTTCTGTGCAACAAACGATGCAAGCTCTTCTGGTGCATGAAACGGAACTGTAGGTCCCGGGCTTAACTGAGTACGCTGCGAGCTCCTCTGCTCTATTCCGACCATAGTGAACGTGTGAGACGTGAGGTGGGCGTTGTGAGCGATGGAAGATCCACGCGATGGAAAAGCAGGAGGTGGGTTCATGCGGGAGGACTGCTTTTGACTGTAATGACCGAGCGCGATTGTCTGTCGATGGTGGGTTATAAGCAAGTCTTTGTCGTAATCGTCATTGTATTCTTTAAACCAAACGATCATTTCTTGTTTGATCTTTTCCCATGACTCGTCGCTTTGAAATATGTGGGTGAGGTAGAATTTGAACGCCTCACCAGAGACGTAGTCGGTAAAGTTGAGGACCATCTCCCGTTTTGACCATGATGCAGCAATAGCGTGGAGCTTTATCCTGTCGACTCGTGTCACACTATGATGAATGGGTGACGTTGCCTGGCTCATACGCCAAGTTTATTCCATCTCTCTTCTTCTTCCTCATCCTTTGCCATCAGTCACTGCCTTCCTACGTCACATATACATAACCACGTTCCATACCACACATTCTCTTCTCTCACATGGACAAAGACGAATGCAGGAAAGCGCGCCGTCGCCGTCGACGGGAAGCTACCGCAGAGACAAAAGAGAAGGAAGCGGATGCAAAGCGGCGACGGCAACAACAAAGTTCTACACCACAGACTAGGGCTAAGGAAGCAAAGGCTAAGCGGAAAAACGCCAAGCTGACGCGCAGTTGAGACAACTTGAAGCGGATGCGAGGCGGCAATACCGACAAGAAAATTCTACACCAAAGACAATAGCTAATGAAGCTGTGATTATGAAGTCAAAACGTAACCCGGAACTCGGAACCTCATATCAGCTATAAAGAGGAATCACCGCTATATCAAAATCGATCTCAGGCACTATCTCTTTGAATAAAAAAAATATATAAGTATCACAACCACAATCAGTCTCAGTACTATCTCAACTTTAATCACAATAATCACCTCCGAAAGCTTCGCCCCATAATTATCTTCAAGCAGCTTGAAATGCAGTGATTTTTTTGTTCGTTTTTGTGCCGCTGTGCTTGTGTGGCACTATCAGAAAACAGGTTTCTCCTGCATTCGACAGATGGCGCTTTGCTGCATAAGGCGCAACTTTCAAATTTTGATTGACGTCGTCCACGCTTGCAGTGCTCGCAAATGTTTAGCATGGTTGCTAAACTGTTTTGAGTTTTATTGCATTGTTATTTGAGCATGTAATGGCTTGATTTATGGTTGTTTCAATTGTAAACTGCACTGGCCATCACACCGAAACAAAATGAACAGATACATTCAAAAACGTTTTTTTTTTTCAAGGACTAAGGTGGGGGATGGGTTTATTATGCGAGTGGGTTCAATGCGTGAGTAAATACGGCAATACGCACCTATTTGTTCGTTTCAAATAATTTGAAATTTTCAATAACTTGAATTGGATTTGATGTGAATTTGAATACGGCATTATTCATTTGAATATTCGAAGCATACGGATATTCGCACAAGCCTAGCACTGACTGAATGGATGACCACCCCATTCTTAACAATAATCACAGAGGCGAATGCAAGCAATATCTGCTCGCAGAAATTTATTTTTTTTTCCTACTGCCTTAAGACCGAACAGAAGTTCCACGCACCTTGAGCAATTCCCGCTCGTGTTGGAAGCAGAGAACCTCGCAGCCGGCAATGGATGCACAAGTGTTGAGGGTGAAGACGTTCCTGATGAATGGGTCCTTCTCACCCTGACGCATCACCATATTGGCGATCTGGATTACACTGTCCTTCTCTGGCTCGGGAAAGATGCCTGCAATCCAGCCATCACCACACTTCATTGCAAAACTTAGTTTTTGTGCTCAGAGTGGAAATAAGAAAACTCAAGGCCATACTTTAATGTCAATTCAAGCCACGTGAAGATATTGAAAAATGAAACGGGAAAAAGCATAGGGATATCTGACTGGTCCCTGTTAGTCCGAATCTAGAAGTTCCGTGAAAAAGTGAAATTGTAGAGGGCAAAGAGGCATACTTTTGCCACCAACACAACAGAGTGAACTTGGCATTTTGCTGGGGTCACACGTGTGGTGCACTACGCACCTTTGCGGCCAGCACACTCGATGTCGAAGCTCAGGATACGCAGAGGAGCAACGCGGGCCCAGGTGCCCTCGGGTGCGTGAGCCACCATTTCGTCCCATGCCACGTCCACTTCAATCTGCGCTCGCGACACCCGGGTGCGTTCGTCACGAACGCGGTACTTGCCCCGCGGTAGTTCGATCCAACAGCAGCCCACAACGTGTGCATCTACCATGAACCTGCATGGAATCATCATTGAAATTACTAAACACTCGGAGAAGGAAAACAAGTGCACAGAATACAGCAGGACCTCAATATTTTGGGCACCATTGGTTAAAAAATTCAGATAATTTTGGAATCGCTGTCTAATCCTGTCAGACAGCTACATGAGTCTACGGCATGAAACTCTTTTTCATTCAGAGTTAGCTGGTTGTACTTTCCGAACAGCTAGCAGATGGAGGTGCAGCTCATCGGCGCAGTCTCCCAACAGTTTCCAACACTACGTCCTAAACGGTCAGCAAAAACTTCACGTTCAATGATACTCAGTCATTAATTCAGTACAACTATGTCTTAAGTGCTATTTCATTGAAAGCAGGTAGGTATGTATTAAGGAGTGTTACTGTAGTCACAATCCATGCAGTACATTTCTCATGTCTTGCATTTGTGTCTACAAACCTTGCTTTCTTCTACAACGAATCCCTACCAACTAGCATGACAATCTCAGCCTCCAAAATTGCATTTTTTGAGCCTGATTGTAATGCTGGGTAAAACAGTGAAGTACAGCGTCAGCCACTACTGATACACTGGCTAACTTGGAGGATGTAAATGGCTCAAGAAGGTGGCCCAGCACTAATGAATGTAATAACCAAGTACCAACTGTCATCATGCGAGTCTAACATGCCAGAATGGCAGGTTACATAACACACAACCAAGGCATCAGGCACATCACTTTTCTGAATGTTGAAGTGTTCCAGGTGTGAAGAGGTTTATTAGTCGTTAAGGACAGCAAGGCGACAGCGTGAACAACCGTCCAGAGACCGGCACAGCAGCGAACCGAAGCACAAGCCGAAAGAGCCGGGTGTTGGCGATGCTGCTCGCTGCAAGCACATCTTCTTCACAATCGCCCCTGCTGAAAAAGGAGCCATCCTGGCGACCTAAGAAGTTTCAGGCAGAGGTTTAGGCAGGAAACATGGACGATGTCACGTGCATGCCGGTGCATGTCGCCCCATCAGGAAACTGGCTCAATTAGTAAATTAACCGGAGAGGTTTTCTACAAAAACGTGTGTAAGGCCCCTCATACCTGGGGACAAGTTTTGAGGAGAGTCCCGGAGTTTGGTATGGGATGGCGAGCCCCACAAGAGACCCTGGGGCATAGCTGGGACCTGGAAGGGGGGTGCTACGGTGTTCTTTCTGGCGTTGCTGCTCGTCCAATGCGAACGTACGGGCGAGCTGGCGGAAATTTTCGGCTTGTCGAACAGCATCGGAGATAGGTGGACACTCGGAAGCATCAGGACGGTAGGGAAGTAGGGTATCGATTGTATGGGAAAGTTGGCGTCCGTAAAGAAGGAAGAAAGGTGAAAATCCCCTGGTTGTTTGTATCGCAGTGTTATATGCGAATGTGATGTATGGGAGAACACGGTCCCAGTTGCTATGATCAAATGCCACGTACATTGAGAGCATATCACCCAGCGTGCGGTTAAACCGTACCGTTAGCCGGTAAGTCTGCGGGTGGTATGGTGTCGTTTTCCGATGAATGACGTGGCATTTCGAAAGCAGAGTTTCGACGACCTCGGAAAGGAAAGCGCGGCCTCTGTAACTAAGGAGCTCTCGAGGTGTGCCATGTGAATTGAAAGAGGCGACATTCTGAGCGGTAGCGCTCGGCAAAGTGACTGTTTCGGCGTAGCGTGTCAGGTAGTCGACCGCCACTATAATCCACCGATTGGCATCTGGTGTCAAGGGAGGGGGGCCGCAGAGGTCAACGCCGATGCTTTCAAATGGCTTGGCAGGGCATAGAAGTGGCTGCAATGCGCCAGTCGCACGCAGCGTTGTTGATCTGCGTCGCTGGCAGTCAGGACAGCACTGCATGAATTTGCGTACAAAATTGTACAAACCGCGCTAGTAATAGCGATGGCGAAGGCGTTCATATGTTTTAAACACCCCGGCGTGGCCACATTGCGGATCGACGTGAAGGGAGGCGCATACTTGCAATCGTAAAAGTGCGTGGAATGACCAGTAACCACCGGCGGCCATCGGGAGCGTAGTTGCGTCGATGAAGAAGTTGATCGCGGATGGCGAAATGGAAAGCTTGACGTCGGAGGGATCGAGATACCGGAAGGTTGTGCGTGCCAGATAGGTATTCGAAAAGAGATGCGATCCACGGGTCACAACATTGTTCGGTGGCAATCGAGTCGAGATTTAGCGATGACAAGGCAAGTGTTTCCGCACGTCAGATCTGGTGGTAAAGGTGAGCGGGACAGGGCGTCAGCGTCAGAGTGTTTGCGCCCACAGCGGTATACCGCGCGAATATCGTGCTCCTGGATGCGTAGTGCCCATCGCGCAAGGCGGCCAGAAGGGTCTTCCAACGAGGAGAGCCAGCAAAGCGCGCGGTGATCAGTTACTAGATCGAACGGACGGCTGTATAAGTACGGCCGGAACTTTTCAAGTGCCCACACCAGAGCTAAACACTCTTTTTCTGTCACGCTGCAATTAGTTTCGGCTTTCGTCAAAGTGCCGCTACCGTAGGGCAACGAAAGCCCAGCGAATAGCCGGGCTTTCGTTGGGCTAGGACAGCGCCTAGCTCAACGCCGCTGGCGTCGGTGTGCATTTCGGTAGGAGCAGTCGGGTCGAAGTGGCTAAGAATAGGTGGGGAGGTGACCAGACGGCGCAGAGTAGTGAAGGCAACGTCACATGCAGGGGACCAGGAGGACAGGTTCACGTCACCCCGAAGAAGCGGGGTTAATGGTGATATGATGGATGTAAAATTGTGAACAAAGCGCCGGAAATAGGAGCATAGGCCTACAAAACTGTGAAGTTCCTTCATAGTCGTCGGCTTGGAAAATTCTGCGACTGCTCGAAGTTTTACTGGGTCAGGTAATACACCGTGCTTGCACACGATGTGGCCTAGGATGACGAGCTCGCGTGCAGCGAAGCGGCATTTTTTCAGGTTAAGCTGCAGGCCAGCGTCGGTCAGACAAGTCAAAATGTGCCTGAGGCGAAGGAGGTGCATAGAAAAGTCATGGGAGAAAACCACGACATCGTCGAGGTAACACAGGCACATATTTCACTTGAGGCCACGTGGCGTATTATCCATAAGTCATTCAAACGTACGTAGCAGGCGCATTACAAAGCCCAAAGGGCACGACGTTAAACTCGTATAGTCCATATGGTGTAATAAATGCAGTGTTTAGGTGATTGGCTTCAGTCATTAAGACTTGCCAGTAGTGAGACCGCAAATCTAGCGACGAGAAGAATTCCGCTCCGTGAAGGGTGTCGATTTCATCAACAATGCGGGCCAAAGGATAGACGTCCTTGCGGGTTATTTTATTCAAACTACGATAGTCCACGCAAAATCGGATAGATCCGTCTTTCTTACGCACTAGGACGACAGGAGACGCCCGGGGACTGTGAGATGGTCGAATGACGTCTCTATGAGGCATATCTTCGACTTGATCGTTGATGACACGGCGCTCTTCAATGGAGACACGGTATGGTCTTTGACGCAGTGACTGGTGCAGGCCGGTGTCAACATGATGTTTGACTTGCGACGTGCAGCCCAGTTAAGGTTGCGACACATCGAAATAATTCTGGAACTCATGCAAAAGATCCAGCAGGTCTGCATGTTCGGTGGGAGTGAGGGTGTCGGTGATGGCGCTGGAAAACGTATCCTTGGACGAATCCTCGAGTGCTGACAGTGCTTTCGGGTGGTCACAGTAGTCATCCGGGACATCAACCAAAGACGAAGGGTCGAGATCCTGCACGCGGCCGAGACATTCTCCCGCAAGCAATGTGACAGGTGTGGAAAGCGGATTGAGTACAAACATATTGCTTCTTCCGGCAGCAAGGTCAATTGTTGCGAAAGGCAGCGGCGAAGCTCGACGACATTTGAAGATATCAGAAGGCATAAAAAGGACTGTAGAGGTAGTGTAGGCGTTGCATGAAACGGGAACAAGTGTGAAATTTCCAGGCGGAATATTGGTATCTTCATGAACGAACAACTTCGGCGGCTGATGAAGAGCGTCCAGTAATGGGGCATCACACAAGGATGAAAACTCAACTTCGGCACGTGCGCAGTCTATGACGGCAATATGACGGGATAGGAAGTCCCACCCGAGGATGACGTCATGCAAACAGACAGCGAGAACAATAAACTCCACGATGTAAAGAATGCCTTCGATGGACACTCTTGCAGTGCAGGCTGCGAGAAGCGTTACTTGCTGTGCGCTTGCGGTGTGGAGGGACAGTCCCCAAAGTGGCGGCGTGACTTTGCGTAATAAACGGCAGAGATTAGCGGCCATAACAGAAACAGCAGCGCTGGTGTCCACAAGGGCGAAAGTGTGATAACCTTCAACAGTTACTGCGACCACGTTAGCAGGAGAGCAGCGAGGGCTTAGACAGTTTGAAAATGGCGCAGTTCTTGCCTCTTGAGCTGCGGTGCTTAGTTCTCCTGGTCGGAGGGTCCGGGCCGGCTACGCGTGGGGGAGGGCGATCGCCGACGAGGAGAGGGTGCGCGCTGCGGCTGGAAGTCAAGGTGGTCAGTAGGCACATACCGAGGTAACGAGACGGACCCGTGTTGGGCAAAGGATTGGCTGCCGGGTGGTGACGATCGGGCATAGTCGCCGTACATCTGAGGTCGACGACGGCAGTAGCGGGCAACGTGTCCGGGAGTGAAGCAGGCGTAGCAAATCGGTCAGTTATCGGGCACCCTCCAAGGATTGGTGACTGGTGGTGCCACCCAAGGTTCAGTATAAGCAGCCGGGTGTGCGGGCTGTGAGCGTGTAGAGTAGGGCGGTTGCGGAAGCCTACGCACAGCGTCTGCATATGTGAGTGGCGCGGCTACAGGCTGCATCTCTTGCGAGCAGGCGACAGGAGGAGCTATAGGCTGCGCTGCATACATTAGGGGTGTGGCCACAGGCTGCACGGCTGGCGGATAGGCGACAGGAGCGCCTACCGGCTGCGTGACACGAGGGCAGTGGACACGGCTAGACAGAGGCGGCTCGTGGTGCGCAAGGGGTACAGCTTGGGCAACCTCTTCGGAAATAGCAGTGCGAAGCGGGGCAGGAAGACCGGTGCTGGTCTCGTGAGTAAAGGGCACTAGGAAAAGTTGGCGGGCGACTTCCTGACGAATGAAGGCTCGGACTTGCTGAAGCAATAGTGAATTGTCAGGCATGGTGTCGAAACTAGACAGTGACTCACCACAATGCTGAGGCTGCGGAGGCAGAGTGCACTGCTTCTTCAACTCGTCGTAGCTCTGACACAAGCCGACGACTTTAGAAAGTGTGCTCGGATTCCTAGCCAAGAGCATTTTAAATGCGCGATCGTCGATGCCCCTCGGGATGTGTTTGACCTTGTCAGACTCGTGCATGGTGTCATTTGCACGTCGACAAAGATCCACGACGTCCCCAATATAGCTCGTACAGTTTTCGCCAGTCTGCTGAGAACGGACGCGCAAGCGCTGTTCTGCCCGCTGCTTGTGGACAGCCAGCCAAACGAACACTTCAGCACGGACATCTTGAAGACGCTTCATGTGGAGATGTTGTGTTTGTGGTTGTTAAACCATGATTCGGCAGCGCCAGTGAGATAAAATATGACGTGGCCCAGCTTGTCGGCTTCATCCCACTTATTATTGGCGCTCACCAGCTCGTGGTGCTCAGGTCATTCTTCCACGTCGATCCCATCCACACCGCTGAAGACCTTCGGGTCCCGTAGCCTAGGATGGCCAGGGCAGTTGACGAACTGGGGCGAAGATGCCGATGGGTTGGCATTGTCAGTCATGACGGGCGGTAGCGTGCGGCTTCGCAGCTCCAGGGTGTAACGACAGGGATAAACAGCACCCTCCACCAAATGTGAAGAGGTTTATTAGTCGTTAAGGACAGAAGCGAAACAGCATGAAGAACCATCCAGAGACCGACACAGCAGCGAACCGAAGCACGAGCCGAGAGAGCCAGGTGTTGGCGATGCTGCTCGCTGCAGGCACATCTTCTTCACACAGCTTTTTATTGCCAAGCTTTCTTTGCTCCTTTTCCCTGAATTTGTGGGCACTGCCCACTCTCTCACATAATGAAGCACATTGAATCAGGAGGTCTACGTACGGTGCAGCAGATGTGATAGCCCCTCGTTTCTGTGAGACACATCTGTGGTTCGCCCTCCAGCTATCGAGAGATTGCAAGGTGAAAGTGTTGACATTACCTGATCTCAAAGTCAACGTTGCTCTCAAAGATGCGGTAACTGGGCGCCCCGTAAGGGTCCACGGTCACGTTGCCCGTCTCCAGCAGACGCTTGGCTGGCGCGATGAGTCGTGGCAGAACCATGGTGACCTTGAGGAAGGGCGTCTTGCCCTTGCTGTTGTAGCCATAGATACCTGGAATAGATTGAAAGGGCTAGGCTTACGTAGACTACACTCCAACCTTGATACTACAATGAACATGGATATAACGAAATATCGATTAAAAAAAGTCAGGAAAATATATTCTAGCAATAAATACAATGTTAAAAATTCCCCTTATAACGAATTTTCAGATAAGAGGAACTTATTTTTGTGTAAGATGCAACTTTGTTATAATGAGGACAGTCTTATGGCAATCAGCCAGAATCTAACCAGCAGTGTTATCAAGTTCTCTCTCCTCGATGTTGTTGCAATGCTTATACAACTGTTGCTTCCTATTTCAAACACAAGCACGCAATCATGTGGCATGCCATTTCCTAAAGACTTCTTTAGCTGCATACGAACTCAGCAGATGACAGTCGTCACCTAGACTGCACTGAAGCACAAAATGAGCAGAAGCTTTATGTGGGTGAGGTCACGCAGCTCACTCACTAAGAAAGTCACAACTGCGACGAAAGTAGCCCGTTACATCCAAAACATTGTCATAAACACATACAGTAGACTTGAGATAATTCAAACTCTGATAATTCATACTTTTGGTTAATTCAAATGAAATTCAATATTTCGGTTGGCCCTCTATTCTTTCAACATATTTAAAAGCCTCTTCATTCAAAATCTATCATTCAGTTAATTCATACTTTTTGCAGGCCCATATTAGAAAATATCGGCTGCTTTCCCGCTACTAATTAAAAATTTGTGTGCTTATATCATCCTAACAGTCCAAAAATGAAGAATAAGAACCTGAGGCCTCCAAGGAAAAAGGCTTTGTAAGTAAACAAATGTATGAAACAAAGCACACGCATGGTAAACCGTTACGCTTCTCAACTGGTATAGAGAGCTTTGTGCTGAAGGCACATGCTTATGCAATGAAGCAGTTGGCAATTCACAATTTCTCTAAAAGGTCTGATCAGCAGTGAATGGCCAATATCGTATTTACTCGCGTAATCCTCGCACTCGCATAATTCTCACACCCCCCACATCGCCCAACAAAAATACAAGTTTTTTTTCCTCAAGTAATTATCGCACCCTCGAAAACTGCCGCAATAATGTCATCTGCTCGTTCTCAGCCACTGGTGATGATAGCACGCACCATCTGGCGCTATCTCTTAAGCGCCAAGCGTACTATTATTGCACGAATATTCAATCCAATCCAAGCCAAGCCAAAGTGGCCAGTGCGCATTGCGGCATGTTTTGTATGTTGTGTCGGTAATCTTGTCACGTTATGGGGCGATACTGAAGCTACAGGGCTGCTTTTGAATTGAAAGTGATAAAGCATGATCTAAACAACGGCAACAGTGCCGCCTGTAGGCCTTTCGGAGCATACGAGTTTTGTGTTCGCTATTGGTAACGGCATCTGAAAGCCACCAGGACACGTTGGGTTAGCCGCATGCCTAAAACTGGGATTGATGGTAAACTTTATTTCCTCAGAAGGAAACTGCTGACGATTCTGTTAATAGTTATGAGCCTAATACTGACGTCCTACGCTTACCTTTTGAGGGCTCCTGTTGAGCAACGAACGCTACTGCCACGCCCGCAACGCCCACAAGCTTTGCGTATGGTATTCTAATTCTCGATTATTTGCTTGCACTTTTTGTGTCTCAAATAAATCTTGCCTTGTGTTGAACCTGTACTTTTACTGTTGAGGTAAGTTTTAATTAGTACTTCTGAAAGGTTGCTGTTAGTGCTGGTGTAAGAATTCTGATTTGCGGCCACTTCGTTTTCTTTTTCGCTCTGTACCTTTTCTGGAAAGTTTTCCCCGCGTAATTCTCGCACACCCCAACTTTGCATCGGTTTTCCGCCAAAGAAAGAGTGAGGATGATGCGAGTAAATACGGTAAACTTGTGGGCTTTACAACTCTGCTTTCTGTTCACAGAAGTTTTAGCTTAAAAACACCTAAATTTTTTTAAGCGTGATAAAATCAATGCCTAATCATAATGTGTGGCGTCACCTCACCCAGAGTCATCTATCGGAGAACTTTTGATAAATTCGAACTTTTGACAATTCAAACTTCTTGATAATTCAAACAAAATTCAGAGGTCCCTTCGAGTTTGAATTACCGAGAGTCGACTGCATTTGTAGCATTGTACCAATGACAGAGCCATTCTCACTCGCTTCGTTATAACCAATAACTTGTTATGTTGGGGATCGTTATATTGAGGTCTGAGTGTACTGAAAAAAATGGAGTAAAAATGAGGACAAAAAAAAAACATACTTAACAGGCATAAAAAAAGTGGCATTCATTTCATTTACAATGATGCCATCGAGGTCTGCTGATTTGAAGCAATTTTTGGAGCAGTAAAATTTGCAATTTGGAGCACCTTAGAATAGCATAATTTTCCATTTTGGAGCAATCCGGAGCAGGTAACTTTGCATCCTGAAGAAGACGCAAGTTATACTTACATTCAAGGACGTGAATAATTATTTTGAGATTCTTGTGAAGAGCTAGAAATATTTCAATTCTTAGAAAACCTCATGGAGCCAAACATCTTCGGAGCACTCCCTATTTCAGTTAATGCAAAAATAATGTCATGCTGTTAAGAATTCTCGAAAAACTTGGTCAGTGACTACTTTCACAGAAAGTAGGCAGAATAGTGATTGAATAAAATAGTAAAATAACATTCTAAATGCACCCTTGCGGTTCTCAGCAGATTTGGAAGACAAACGCTGTGACGTAGAACGCTAGAGACTCACACAGTCCCAACTGCGTTTCTCTAAGATGAATTCAAGAATAAAAAAGGTTACTTTTCTTCACAACTGATTATATTGCTGGGTGTAACATGACGTCATTTTGCTAGTCTCATATAGCCGACCTCCTCCGGCACTCATCTCTCCATGCTGAAACTGCATGATTTAACAAACTTTGTTTTCATTTTGCAGCAGTGTTTTATATGTGGCTAGAGCGTTCTGTATATACACAAAAAACACCCGATATTGTTCTCCTGAAAGCAGGGCAAAAAGAAAAGAAAAAAACAATGCGAACGGGGACGACAGATGCGGCTAAAGAAGAGATAAAAAAAAGCCGACCTATCTCCTTTGCGCGGAGGATATATGCAATAACATTACACATCCCACATGCCAGGCCTGCCATCGACTGTTACTCAAGCAGATAGGAACGGGCCGCCCGTCTTCAAGGAGCAAGAAGGAACTAGGACCACAAGGAGGAAGGGGGGACGCATTGTTATATGAACTTTGACTTTAAGGGTGTGATCGCCACTGGTGCACTCGCTATTTCGTCAGACATTAAAAACGGCTGGTAGACCCTTCTACCGTTTACCCTCAATGCAAACTGACTGGGCCAAAGTGCTTCGCTTTCTGGAACAGCCATATAGGGGCGTGCACCAAGCCTTGATCGCAAGGCAGCCACACCATAGTCGTGTTATTTTGGAGGTCTATTCGTACGTGCTGTTTGCCATTCATAAAATCACTTATCTAGAACCGCAAAGCGCGTGCCTGCCGACACTCTTCTTCGCGGTGACTTTTATCTCCCGTTAGCTACACGCTTCTGTTCATCATTATATTATAGCAAAAGGACTTTACACACAGTATGACCATGTTTGGTATCATCACGGAGTCTCTCTTAACATACTTCAGTAAAAAAAATGGCAGCTGGAGCAACCGGCTGGGCACTCTAAACAAGTCTGATTTTATCTGTACGTGCGTCAACTTGCAAGAGGTGTTCCTAGGGTCTTTACTCATCCAAGTCGCTGTACGGATATCGAACACCGAGCGTGCAACAAGTTTTCTGCACGTGCACGGTCCTCCAAAATGGCAACCCCGCCGCTAGTGCCCCTCGCGTATGACATCAAGCCTTATCATTTGGTATAACAATACAATTTGTTCGTAATGCATTCATTGCTAAAGTAGAACTAACAAATTGTATCTTTTGGACCTGATGTCGCATAATTCAACAGAACGCTGGCTGAAGGGACAATGACCACTCCAATTGCCTAAGCTGTTTGCGTGCTGTCAGTTATCTAAACACAAAGCAAAGATTAGTAGCACAGAACGTTTACGAGCAGTCTCATTACGTCTCGAGATATAGCCCGCATCATAGCCGCATTTTGGGGGGGGGGGGATATAGCCCCCCCCCCAAAAAAAACGAAGCAATAAACGCGATGCCGTGATGTTCATTTTTTTTTTAACCGTCGACTACTGACCCTGAAAGCAAGAGGTGTACGTGTAACATAGCGTAGCCGTTTCACAGTGGGCCTTCCGACAAGAGCCGTTAGCGATGGCCCTACTACTGAAAGATGCACGTATTAAAACCGAATTGTGGCTGCTCCGACCAGGAAGCATGCTTTCGTTATTGAGATGACATATTAAGGCGAGATGCTACTCGAAGACATTGTTTTTTAATATTCACCCTAGAGCAATGAAACTTGAGCTGTTTATGGAACTTTTTATGCTGATTTCAAATATATAATTAGTTTTTTTGCAAGTTGCATGCTTTTCGCTCTGCAACATGACAAAGTGAAAAACTTAACCCTTTTGCCCCCCTCTTTACGGAAGTTCATCCCTGAACTTGCATAATTTTTTACCATTTATAGTTCATGATGTTTGAAATAAAGCGTACAATGCAAATAACTAATTAGGAAGCACATACAGAATATGTAATAGGCATGAAAAATAATACACGTAAAAAGTCCATATTTCACCTCTAGTAAAAGTTTACATACATTTTTTTATTATACAATAAAATATTGAAATTTAAGTTAGATAATTGCATTTTTAATACTTTGGAAAAAATTTGGGCAAAATTTCATGCAGATTCGAGCACAAGATGGTCCCAAAAAAGGAGGGGCACATTGAAAAAAGTGGCAAAATTTGTGTTTTGAGAAAAATGAGTTTTAAAGTTAAAATTGAGTTTTTATTTATGAAAGATATAATTAAATCTGATGAAATTTGACAACCAAAAAGAACAATCCTTCTTGTAGGGGCCACTGCCACTAAAATATGCCAGCACCATAAGTTTGTCCGTCTCGGGTTTTTCAAGCCGAATCCTAAGACATTTCGCTCACAGACAGGGCCTTGAAACGCTTGCCAAACTTCCGCTCCATCTGGCAGAGCCATGTGCCAACTGCAAGCTAGGAAGAAGTTCGATAGGACTGCAAAATCCAAACTAAGTCCAGTGTCATGCCATTTTGCGGCCATGTTTGTGCCACATACTGTCGTACATAATGGCAATGTCGCCCCTGCTAAGTTCCCTCACTGCGAGCTCTTTCGACCTCACAAGATTGGCGGTCATGTCATCCATTGCCGCATCATGAACTTTCCGGCTGACGGGTGTGAATGACTTTTGATGCATTGGCTTTTGCAAGCCAACAACTGCCACAAATCCGACCAGCTGCTCTTAGCCTATTCCTACAGAGCGCGCCGCACAACGGTTTTCACTTGCGAGCAATGGCTTTTTTCATTCATAAGGGAGAGAAATACACGAGAAAAGCATTGTTCATCTGCACTGCTCGACAAGACATGGACCCCGCAAATTGGCGTCAAAGCACATACAGGGGCGCAACGGCGAATGGCGGTCCCCCGAACCATGTGATAAGCCAGTCGCAGCACTCGATAAACGCGCAGAACCGTGCTTCTTTTTATTATTTCTTGAGCTGCATCAGTAAGAGAAACTGTTGTTATTTGAAGAGTGAGGCTCGACTCTTCGGCTAATGCGATCAACAATGACGAGCGGCGGCGCATTATTGGCGGCAAGGTGCTCGAAGACTGCACACTTTGGACCTTTTAACAGGAACCTTGTGCTCTTTAGATGCAATTTTAAAGCATTTCCAGTTAAGTCTCGACCTGTATTTTTTTTCATAACAGCAAAGAAACTAATCTTATCAAAACAAGCAAAAATAAAAAATGGGTAATTTAGAAAAAAAAAAACTCGCGTTTTTCAACCAGCATCTCCCCTTAAAAGAAAGCACGTGAAAATTTTGTATTCGTACCCTAGCAATCTCGAGATTTAAAGGGGTCATTTGGAGACTTTTACCGCACTAGCGATGACAAATGCAAATGTGCTGGTAGAAAACATTACAAAAAAGCTCGGAATGAATCTCCAGGAATAAAGTATATTAGAGAAAAAATGTAAACGCTTTCCCACCGTTAATGTATTCTGTGGACACGTAGCACACAAAATTAGATCGTGATGTCTAGAATTTGACGTGACAGACATTCTGGCAGCACACGTGAGGTTATTAGTAAATATCGCTTCAACTACGTGCCACGCAACCCTTCAAACGAGTTATCAGCTGCGTTCCTGAAACGCACGACATCCGCCGACGAATCGCCACCGCAGTTTGACACTACTAATAGGACCAGATGTCACGAGCCATTGTTGGGAGCGCATTTCACAGTTAAGTGGACTTGCACAACAAAAGTTGCGTCGACACCAAACATAGTATCGTAGATTCTTCAGGACGCAAGCACGACCCCTGTTTATTCAGCCGAATGACTCTAGGTACGTGATTGTGACTTTGGTGACCCCGAGAAATAGGTGCACATGTTTTGACGTGCCAGTGTGGATGTTGCCTGTGATAGACGCTTCCAAATCCGACTTTGGTGCAGTTTGGCACAATTTTCGTCGATATTATCAGCACGGCACAGTAAATTTGATTTGGCGCACTTTGGCGCAATTGGCACAGGAGTGGGATCGCTGGATTTATTAGTACTACTGTCTTTCTTTTCCCCTGTATTTGAATACCATTCAAGGAACCATACAAGCTGACTCAATTTTCAGCATTTTTTTCTTTTACATTTTTTAACGGCAGATTGCACTTCTAGATAGCAGTGCATAGTTCACGTTGCCTGAATTCGCAATCAGTGCAAGCTGGTCTAACAAGGTCTGTAGTACGAGCTACAGACGCCAGCCGCACGTAACAAAGCAATGTGCAATGAAAAAAAAGCGGCACGCACTCTGTTTTAGGACCATGTCGATGCCAACAACTGTGTCGCTCAACTGGTTCTTGTTGGATCGCATGTCCTTCAGCACCGCCTTGTTCAATGCTTCCTGTGTACAGAAGAATTCATGGTCAGCAATTGTTTTATGCAAAACATACACACACACACACATTCACTTATGCATGCACATTTACAAATGCACAAAGGCACAAAACGCCTGACAATTTTCCTGATAAAATGCATGCGAAGCAGCATCAGTGACAGCCTGCTCTTTGACCATGTCCTCTACCAACTACCAAACAATGCAAGATAAATAATGGTTATTATTATTATTATTATTATTATTATTATTATTATTATTATTATTATTATTATGTCGGCACAGCGGCACTCGAGCAATGCGGAGGCCTAACCCTTTAGTCTTCATCATGCAGGTGAGGAGGAAATATGAAATTTGTATTAGGTCAGACAACAGTTTCTTGCTTGTGCTGCTGTGCCCGTGGCAATGTTGTGGAATCGTATCAATATGAGTATGTGTAGAGGTGGTGAAGAATTTATTGCTCCTTGGGGGTATAATATGAAACAAATCCTGGGCCTGAACTAACCTAAATTGCAATACAGATAAAGGAAATTGCGTTCGACATAAAAGAGATAAAAGAGAAGCGTCTTACAGATATTGATAAAAAGCTTGACGCAATAACAGAACTAGAAAAGAACGTCGAAAGCCATCATGGGGAAATACTAAACATGAAAAAGGTAATTGAAACACTGCAAGAAGAATAGATGACCTTGAAAATCGAAGCCACAGGTCAAACCTTATTTTGTACGGCTTAGTAGAACCAGAGAGAGAAGCACGTGAAGGCCTAGAACAAGCCGTGAACAAGGGTATTATTGAAGAAAAGCTGCAACTTGAACCACTTGCCATAGAACGTATACACCGGTTAGGGCATCCACAGCCAAATAAAGTCAAACCAGTAATCTTCAAATTGCTGGATTCTAGACAAAAAAATGAAATACTCAAAAATGGGTACAAACTGAAAAACTAGCTTGTCCATTAGTGAAGACTTCTCGCGTAATATAAGGGGAGTCAGAAAGAGGCTTTGAGAGAGTGCAAAACAAAACTGACAGAAAGACTATTTCATTGATTCATATGTGGGGCTTAACATCCCAAAACCACTATATTGTTACGAAATAAAGGAAGATGAAGGACAGAATCAGCTGACAGGCGCACGAGTGTGCCAATCAGCCATTGTGATTCTCGCCTGAGGTTCTTCCTCAGTAATTGCGTTTATACAAAAGTCACTGACCCCGTAACATATTGGTTAGAGCTGCTGGTAACCATCAGGCAACGGAGCACCGCAGCGGACGACGCATCGGTTTCCCAGCCATGGCCAATGCTGAGCCCTCCGCGTCAACGTCAGCGTCTCTGACGAACACGGCGTCGCAACCATACGATTTCACGCCACTCAAGGATCCCGGTACATTCTGTGGGACCGATGGCGTCGACGTTGACGATTGGTTGGCCATATTCGAACGAGTGAGTGTGTCGAACAGATGGGATCCCACACTTCAGTTGGCTAATGTGCTGTTTTACTTGAGAGGCACGGTGAAGGTGCGGTACGAAAACAACGAAGAACTCACAAGCTGGGACCAATGCAAAAAAAAAGATGCGAGAGGTGTTTGGCAAAACCGCCAGTCGTAAGATCGCCGCCAAAAAGGAATTGGCCTGCCGTGCCCAATCCCCAAAGGAATCACACCTCGCATACATTCAAGACATGCTGGTCCTCTGCCAAAAGGCCGAAAGCGACATGACAAGGTGACAAGGTAGGGCATGTCCTGAAAGGGATTGCCGACGACGCATTCAATCTCCTGCTGTGCAAGAACTGTTCCACCGTGGACGCGATCATCAAAGAGTGTCGTCAGTTTGAGCAAGTTAAAAGTCGCCACATTCTGCAAACATTCGCCCGACTTCCAAACATCGCTGCAACATCGACTTGCGAGGACCAGTCCGCACCACAACGACCGTCGCCGCCGGAAGACCTGACATGCATTGTTCGTCGCGAAATGGAAGCAATGGCGCCCTCGGCGTTCAATTCACGCAGTATTGATACCCCTCCTGTTACTGTTCCTCTTGTTCAAGCAATCGTGCGCCAGTAGCTTGAAAACATCGGAGTGCATTCCGTGTGCCATGTCACTGCCCCCAGAGTCAGCAAACGCCCTTTCACGATGCCCTCCTCCGACCAGACGGTTTTCTCCACATACTCGAAACCCAGCTGAGTGGCAAACTGCAGATGACCGCCCTATATGTTTCAACTGCTACCGCGTTGGACAAATTGCTCGTTACAGCCGCAACACATGGTCCTCGGCACCTCGTGCAACGACCAATATGACCCGTTTACACAGTACCGCCCACACATATTCACCTGCCGAAGAGTCCCATGCCATTGACCTTTCTCGAAACACTTGGTACAGCCGCTCGCCTTCACCACGAGGGCACCAGTCTCGTTCGCCGCAAATACGTCGCCGATCATCTCGTTCACTGCAGCCACGGCGCTTCTCGTCCCCCGTGGCTTCCGGCCGCATCGTCTAAAAAAACTGAGAAATACAGCCCCCGGAGGTGGTGCTGCATTGACGACTTCCGCAGCAAATCCTCTCTCCGTTCCTACCAGACGAAGTGTAATAGACGTTAAAGTAGATGGCGTACCTCTACAAGCACTTGTAGACACCGGCGCAAGCATTTTGGTCATGAGTTCAAGCCTACGCACACATTTAAAGAAAGTTCCGACACCAGCGGCTGCACAAATGCTTCGCGTGGCCGATGGGGCACGCTGATAGTTTTCGGTCTGTGCACTGCCCGCTTAAGTATAAAGGACCACATTGCTTCTGTCATTTTAGCCGGGATTGACCACTGCCCTTATGACGTTATCCTAGGCCTGGACTTCTTGTCGAATCACTCTGCTTTTATCGATTGTGCTACCGGCGTCCTTCAGCTAGAACTGCCTCAGATAGTCGCTGAACACCACACTGCCCCGCCACGCCTGTGCTCTCTTCAGGATGTGCAACTATCACCTCAGGCAGCCACCTACGTCATTTTGACCACACAGCCACAGGTTCCCGATGGTCAATATGTTCTCCTTCCTCTAGCCGACGTCCTCTTGGAGCGCAACATCGCCATTCCCCAAACGCTTGTGACTGTCACTGACAACTGTACCTCGCTCCCACTTTTCAATTTCAGCTTTTGTTGCCCTCAAGTGCTTCCTCGTGGCATGTTCTTGGCCAGCGTATCCAATGCTGAATAATTCGAAATAGCGGCTCTCACGACCGAGATTGATTTACATCAGTCTCCTGTAGCTAACAGCGTCTGTTCTATGCCGAGTCGTTTTTCGAAGATGATTGCACCCGACCTCAATCCTGCGCAAGCCAACGACATCCATCACCTTCTCGCGTCGTATACCGACATTTTTTATTTCGACGACAGACCTCTAGGGCAAACATCCACCGTTCAGCACCGTATAAACATTGGTGACGCCAGTCCCATTCGCCGACCCCCTTATCGTGTCTCCCACACCGAGCGCAAAGTTATCCAAGCGGAAGTTGACAAAATGCTCAACAAAGGTGTTATAGAACCATCAAGTAGTCCTTGGGCTTCCCCTGTCATCCTTGTGAAGAAAAAGGACGGTACCTGGCGCTTCTGCGCTGACTATCGCCACCTTAAAGACGTATACCCGCTACCACGCATCGATGACGCGTTGGACTGCCTGCACGGCACTACGTACTTCTCGTCCATTGATCTTCGGTCCGGCTACTGGCAGATTTTTGTCGATGAGATGGACCACGAGAAGACGGCCTTTATTACACCAGATGGTTTATATCAGTTTAAGGTGATGCCTTTTGGACTATGTAACGCCCCTGCCACATTCGAACGAATGATGGACTCTCTCTCGCGTGTTTATAAGTGGTCTACTTGTCTCTGTTACCTAGACGATGTGATAGTCTTTTCATCTACTTTCGATAGCCACCTGACCCGTCTTGTTGCAATTCTCGCAGTCTTCAGAACAGCTGGGCTACAACTAAACTCCAAGAAATGTCAATTTGGCTGCCATCAGATTACGATTCTGGGCCATCTTGTAAACACTGAGGGCGTCCAACCAGATCCTGAAAAGATCCGCGCTGTCCGTAGCTTTCCGGTGCCCTGTTCTACATGCGACATCCGGAGCTTCATCGGCTTATGTTCCTACTTCCGTCGTTTTGTGAAAAACTTCGCCGACGTTGCCAGGCCACTCACAGACTTGCTGAAGAAGGATACACATTCTAATTGGGCCCTGAGCAGGCTCAAGCGTTCACCGCTCTCATCGGCTGCTTAACTACGCCCCCCATACTTGCCCACTTTAATCCTTCTGTTGCCACAGAAGTTCGCACCGATGCCAGTGGCCACGGTATTGGCGCAGTTCTCGCTCAGTGGCACCTCGGCAGACAGTGCGTGATAGCTTACGCCAGTCGCCTACTTTCTCCCCCTGATAGGAATTATTCCATCACCGAAACAGAGTGTTTAGCTTTAGTTTGGGCCATCGCCAAGTTTCGGCCATATTTATATGGTCGCATGTTCTCCGTCGTTACGGACCACCACGCCCTCTGCTGGCTGACTTCTCTGAAGGACCCGACTGGACGTCCGGGTCGCTGGGCTTTGAGGCTTCAAGAATTTTCGTTTAGTGCCAGCTACAAGTCTGGCCGTTTGCACAAGGACGCAGACTGTCTTTCTCGTCATCCGGTGGACCCTCCTCTGATCCCGTTGCGACTGACCTGGAGAGCAGCGTGATGGCGTTTAATGATATCAGCGATATGCACATTGAACGACGGGATGAGTCAGTGCGCACTACCATCGACGCCATCCAGTCTGACAGCCATGACGCCGAATCCCGTATGTTCAAATCTGAATGACGGCATCCTCTACCGCCGCAACGTCAGCACTGAAGGCCCTGAGCTTCTGCTTGTCATTCCCCGTCATCTACGGCCTGCCATACTTAAACAACTTCACGGCGTACCAATAGCGGGACACCTCAGTGTTTCCCGCACATCCGACCGCGAGAGACGTCGGTTCTTCTGGCTAGG